GGGGTCGGGTCAGCCTCACACCAGCCCTGGCCCCCCGCTCCGCCAGGGCTCCCCCCACACCTCCCCAGCTCACCAGCACCCGGTTGTCCGTCTTGGTGAGGGTGACGATGCGGTTCTCCACAGGGCTGCCCTCCCGGCTCGCCTGCTTGATGCTGATGTCGGCGATGTCGGGGAAGTCGCAGAAGTGCTGGCGGCTCTGCGGGGTACACGACCGGGGCTGGCCTCTGCGTCCCCCCACCTCGCCTCACCACGGGACCCCCCGGCGCAGCCACCCACCTGCACCTCAGAGCCGCCGCAGCTCCAGGAGACACCGCTCTCGCTGGCCACGTGGATGGTGATGTCCGCGGCGGAGCCGGGTGAGCGCACACGGAAACTCTCCTCCGCCCAGCGCCATTGCAGCCGCTCCAGCTCCAGCAGGTACTTGAGCTTCAGGTAGCGTCCGTCCGTCTGGCAGCCCCCGATCTTCCGCAGGGATTTGCTGAAGTGGCGGCGGATGCGCTTGCGGGTGAGGAAGCTGTGCTGCTGGATCTGGCACCGCAGCGGCTCGGGGATGCAGGACTTGTAGCTGCCGGGGACAGGGAGGTGAAGCAGCGGTGGGTGCCGGGCTGTCCCCAGGGACACTGGGCTGTCCTCATGGGTGCTGGGCCATGTCCCCACGACCGCCAGCCCCCAGCTCACCTGACATGGCTGGAGACCTCGTCAGGGCTCTGCTGCTTCTCCTTGGCAATGCGCAGCATGTCCAGCACGGCCAGGCTCAGGCACTCCTCCTGCCTGGGCAGGCTCAGTGCCACTGCCATGCGTCCCCCGATGAAATCGCTGCGGGACTGGGGAGGGAGCAGAGGCTGGGTGGGGGGTCCCTGTGCCAGCCCCCCGCTCGGCGCATCTCCTGCCCGGGGATGCCGCAGCCAGGAGACCTGATGCACCCCAAGACCCCCGGTCCGCGCACGAGGCTGTGGCGGGCATTGTCCCCCTGCAGCTAACGGGAGCTTCCAGGGTGGCCCCTGCTGACCCCCCCATCACGCCGGCCTGGCTGTGGGGGTGGCTCCAGCCCCAGCCCCACGCCCTGGTGCCTGCGTGAGTCACATCCTGCCCCAGGCTCTGGTTTCCCACTGCTGCCCGGGGGGCAGCAGAGCCAGCTCCATCCCTGGGGCATGCATCACCTGGGGGACACAGTGACCCCCATCTCAGCAACCTGGGGTGCCCCACGCCCAGCGTGGGATGCCCACAAGCAGCTCCAGCTGAGCTGGGTAGGAGGACCCATGTCCCGCGGGCGTCGTGGCCAGGGACCAGTGGGTGCTGGAGGAGGAGAGCGGCACGGTTCACGGTGGTGAAGGGCATCACTACGCTGAGCTTAACATGTCCCACACCCCCGAGAAGCCACGTGGGACCTCGCCCTGCGGCCCCAGGTGTTGGGGACAGGGATGGCAGCCTGGCAGGGCTTACCTGGGCAAAAAGGTAGTCGATGACGGGGTAGTCCAGGATGGGGCTGGCCTGGTTGTTCAGCAGCTGGAAGCGGTGGGACCATCCCAGCCCACACCAGTTGGGGAATAAGAACCTGATGGGGAGAGCGGAGGGGGCTCAGCGCCACGTCCCCCATAGCACACAGCCCCTATCGGCCATCAGAGAGGCCCCGGGGAGCCGGGCTGGGGCTGGGACGGCCGGGTCCCCACGGGCTGTACCTGATCCTGTACACCACAACCTGGCTGCGGGAGTCATCGACGGTGAAGAGGTGGTTGGGGGGGAACCAGCAGCTGAGATCCTCGGTGGCCAGGGCAAAGAGCGAGTGGCAGACGGGCAGCACGCCTGGGGACAGAAGCGGTGCTGTGACCCCTGACGAGGAACGGG